GTTTTTTTTTTAATTTTTTTTTTTTTAAATTAGTAAGAGTATTTTGGTCATTTTTGGATGCGGTGTTATTAATTTAATTGGGTGCGGTAAATATGAATTCAGATATAAGAATTTGAGGTATGACCATAAAAAAGATTTTGATTCTTTCTTTCATTTTCTAATCTATCTATCTATCTATATATATATAAAGAGGGAGTTGATGGAATTTATTGCTAAATATAGATGATATGCAATGACTATAATTGGCAAGATTTCTACATTTGGTTGGGTAATTGTAATTGTAAGGTTAGTTATTTTTGTTAAGAATGCCAAATAATTATGGAAAATACATTAACATAACTAAATTCGTATTCAATTATTTTTGGTAAATTTTAAGAATGGAAAATAATAATTATAAGTTAACTTACTCAATTCATTCTGTTTGGAAATATATTAATATTCTTTTACAATATATTTAAAAATATATAGCATCAACTACGGTCAGCCATATTCCAATCACTTGATACCTTAAATGTATTTAAAATCATGAACTCTACATATGTCATTACTATGTTTTTTTAAGGCAGCAGTATTAGTTTATGCTAACATAACCATACGTATTAGTGTATTCTAACATTACGCATAGATCCAAAAAACATGTAAAAAAAATATTTATTATGAATAACCTATTTAAATTAAGTTATTAGATGAATACATGATAATGGTGAATGCTGTTAAAATTTCAAAAATGATACACCAAGTTGAGCGTTGTCAACAAAATAGATATTTTGTTGATCCTTGCGGAAAAGAAACATTTAGTTGGCGATTTGGTCGGAAAAGATATATTAATCACCCCACCTGGATAAAAAAGCTGGCGTGGCCGGATTAGGTAGTGATGTGGCATTATAACTTTCTTTAGTTTCATACGTGTTATATACGTGGCGTGATGTGACATCATTATCTCAAAATACACAACTACACATAGATAAATAAAAATAAAATAAAAAAATCCAAAAATAAATAAATATAAAGACACATCAGCAAAAAAAATAAAAATAATTATAATAATAATAAAAATAAAAAAAATAGAAAAATTAATAAAAATCCAAAAATAAAAAATATATATTTCGTTCTATTTCCTTAACTATATATTAATAAAATATTTTTAAAATTATATTTCGTTAATATATATTAAAAATTGTTAAAAAATAAAAACTACTTTGTTAATATTTCGTTAATAAGAATATTTTGTTAATATTTCGTTAAATATAAATATATTCACGAATATATATTAAAAAATATTTTGTTAATAATAATAATTATATATAATTTATTATTAATTATAATTTCTAATATAGTAGTTTACATAAAATTTTATTTATTTAATATATATAAGTATTAAATATAAATATAAATGACAAAATATAAATTTATATTAAAAAATATATTTTAATTTATTTCTAAAATATATATCTAAAAAATATATTTTTATTTATTTAAATATAAATTTATACTTGTGATTTATATTTATATTTAATATACTTATATATATTAAATAAATAAAATATTATGTAAAGTATTATATTAGATAGTATAATTAATTATATATAATTATTATTATTAATGAACTTCATTTTTCTTTTTTTTAGTATTTTTTTAATCTATATTAGTGAAATATATTTATATGAATTGAAATATTAACGAAATATCTTTATATTTTTAATATATATTAACAAAATATAAGTTTTTTTAAATATTTTATTAATATATAGTTGACAAAATAGAACGAAATATATTTTTCTATATTTTTTTTTATTTTTGGATTTTTTTCTATTTATTATTATTATTTTATTTTTTCTGATGTGTTTTTATTATTTATTTATTTTTAGATTATTTTTATTTTTATTTATGTATGCGTAGTTGTGTACTTGGAGAGAAGGATGACACATAACGCCACGTATATAACACGTAGAAAATTAAGGAAATTTATAATGTAACGTCATTATCTAATCCGACTACTTCAGTTTTTTTATCTATGTTGAGTGATTAATTTATTTTTTCTGACCAAATTGTCAACTAAATATTTCCTTTCCGTGAGGGACAACAAAATGTCTGTTTTGTTGACAACGCCAACTTAGTGTATCATTTTTTAAATTTTGCCGGTGAATGCTTAACAAAATACTTGAATCATATTAATGTCAATAAAAATTAAGCATTATTATTGGTGAATGCTTAACAAAATACACCCAAACTTACCAAGATACTCGAGTATAGAATAGGAGTAATTCACGCTATAAATCTCATATTCAAAATCTGTGTATTGTTCTCTCATATTCAAATCCGATGGTGGTGTTGATTTCTTGCATGACATGCACACTCAGGAGTTCTTAAATAGTATAAAATGTTCTGGTGTTCCAGATCATGAATTGCACTTAAAGGTTGGGACTTATGTCATGTTGTTGAGAAACATTGACCATTCGATTGGACTGTGTAATGGAACACGCTTGGTGATACCGAAGCTTTTCACTCATGTGTTTGAATTAAGATTCTAATAGGATCAAATGTTGGACATAAGGTATTGGTACCAAGACTTTCCCTAACTCCATCTGATCTCAGATACCCTTCAAGTTCCAGCGTAGACAATTTACTCTTATGTTTTCTTACGCAGTGACAATCAACAAGAGTCAAGAGCAGTCGTTATCCCATGTCAGACTTTACATGAAAAGACCCATGTTTATTAGTCATGGTCAATTATACGTTGATGTGTCTCGAGTCACTAATCCACATGGATTGAAGATATTAATATGTTGGGGGATGATAGTGGGGAAAAGAAAACTACTATGTCTATCGAGAAATTTTTCAAAATTTGTAATACCATATAATATTGTACTTTTACTATCCATTCAATAATAATGTTATTTATTTGTCATTTACTTTTTATGATATATATATAGATATTTTAATATATTTATTAAAATATTTTAATAAATATGCTTCGTGCATAGCACGGGTAAAGATACTAGTTAAATACAATTACACACAATTCTCCATATTAACAAAACTAACTTGATCACTGGGAATCTATATAGGAATTCTTTCGACGTTTTTTCATGTATTCTGGTGAGCAAGTCAGACTGATTTGGAGATTCAATGAAGGCCGGTGACCTCAAACTAGTGGAGTTATTGTCAGTCATCAATATTGATCAAAAATAGGCAGCTCAGCCCATTACTTTGACAAGTTGCAAAAGAAGTCAAAAATGGCAATAGCACACTTCATTTGATAGCAGCCATAGAAGAACAAAAAGGAAGCATCCTTTTATTGAAAAATTGGTGCAATTCCTCTCTATAAATAGAGATGGAATTCTGATGAAAAAAACACAACAACAAATACAAATATCCTGAAGAGAGAAAAGAGAGATAAAAAGGGTGTGAGCGAGAAGCAAAAATTTTAGCTTCTGTGTGTATTTGTGTTGTCGGTTGTGAGTGAGTTTTAGAGTGTTTTGTAAAACACGAGTGTATTTCTTTTCCCTAATAAAATATCTGCAGTAGTCCGGAGACGTAGGCATTATTGGCCGAACTCCGTTATCAATTTGGCGTGTCCAATTTTTTCTTTTTTTATTTCACTTTTATAGATCCGACTTCATGGAAATTTCAGCGTATTTTTCCCAACAACTGGTATCAGAGCCAGATTGTTAATTCTGTAATTTTTTTTGTGAGGGTTACTATTCCGTATATAGTGAAAAACGTGAATAGTGTCAAATTTGTCGGCGCTACAAATTTATCTACCGACGTGTCCTGAAACACGGTAGTTCACAAAATTTACAGAAACGATCCAGCAGAGAAGTCAGATCAGAGTCGAAGTGATGGCTGCAGACGAAGGAAAAATGAAAATTGAAAAGTTCGATGGTGCAGACTTTGGCTTCTGGAAGATGCAGATCGAGGATTATATGTACCAGAAGAATATGTATCAACCACTCACGGGAAAGAAGCCAGAGGACATGAAGGAGGAAGAATGGAGTCTCCTTGACAGACAAGCCCTTGGAGCCATTCGGCTGACGTTATCCCGTAATGTTGCTTTTAACATTGCAAAAGAAAAAACGACAGCAGGCCTCATGAAGACTCTTTCCAACATGTACGAGAAACCATCAGCCTCAAATAAAGTCCATTTGATGAGGCGATTGTTCAACCTGCGGATGAGTGAAGGTGCTCCGGTGGCAAATCATCTCAATGAGCTCAACACAGTTACAACCCAGTTGAGTTCAGTTGAGATCGAGTTCGATGATGAAGTACGGGCTTTAATACTTTTGTCTTCTCTACCAGAAAACTGGAATGTTACAGTCACAGCTGTGAGTAGCTCATCGGGAAGCAATAAGTTGAGATTTGATGATGTCCAAAATTTGGTTCTCAGTGAAGAGATCCAGCGGAGGGAGTCGGGTGAACCACCAACCTCTTATGTATTGCATACAGAGTCGAGAGGAAGAAGTTCAACCAAAGAAAGCAGACATATCAAATCAAAGGGAAGAAGATATAGGTCCAGAAATCATCGTGGTTCCCAAAACTCGAAGTCGATCGAGTGCTGGAACTGTGGGAAGACCGGGCACTACAGAAATCAGTGCAAGAGTGCACCGGAGGGTCAGGAGACAAAAGAAGAGGCAAATATTGCTTCAACCTCTGGAGGAGATTCGCTTATATGTTCTTTGGAGAACAGAGAAGAGTCTTGGGTGTTAGACTCTGGAGCATCCTTTCATGCTACCTCACAGAAGGAACTATTCGAGAATTATGTTCCTGGAAATCTTGGTAAAGTTTACCTTGGTAATGAGCAATCATGTGAGGTTGTCGGCAAAGGTGCAGTAAAAATCAAGTTGAAAGGGTCTGTTTGGAAATTGAAAAATGTCAGACATATTCCCGACCTGACGAAGAATTTAATCTCCGTAGGCCAGTTAGCCAGTGAAGGCTACACGACAATCTTCCATGGTGATGATTGGAAGATTTCAAAGGGTGCGATGACAATTGCTCGAGGCAAAAAGAGTGGTACTCTTTACAAGACCAAATGAGCATGTCATCTGATTGCAAATGCAACAAATGAAAGTCCCAATCTATGGCACCAAAGACTTGGGCATATGAGTGAAAAAGGGATGAAGATCATTCACTCAAAAGGAAAATTACCAGGCCTCCAGTCAATAGAAATTGACATGTGTGAAGGCTGTATACTTGGAAAGAAGAAGAGAGTTAGGTTTCAGACAAGTAGAAGAACCCCAAAGAAGGAGAAGCTTGAGCTCGTCCACTCTGATGTTTGGGGTCCAACGACTATCCCATCCGTTGGTGGGAAGCAATACTTCGTGACTTTTATCGATGATCACTCCAGAAAGGTATGGGTTTACTTTCTGAAACACAAGTCGGAAGTATTTGAAGCTTTCAAGATTTGGAAAGTTATGGTGGAAAATGAGACAGCCTTGAAGATCAAGAAGCTCAGATCCGACAATGGTGGTGAATACGTAACCACCAGATTCAAGAAGTTTTGCTATGAGCACGGAATCAGAATGGAGAGAACCCTGCCTGGTACGCCTCAACACAATGGTGTAGCTGAGCGTATGAATCGAACATTGACTGAAAGAGACAGAAGCATGCGTGTGCAGTCAGGCCTACCAAAGCAGTTCTGGGCAGAAGCAGTCAACACAGCAACTTACTTGATCAACCGAAGTCCATCAGTACCATTGGATCACAAGTTACCAGAAAAGGTATGGAGCGGAAAAGAAGTAAAACTCTTACATCTTAGAGTTCTCTGTTGTGTAGCATATGTGCACATCAGTGATCATGGTAGAAACAAACTTGATCCAAAATCAAAGAAATGTACTTTTCTTGGTTATGGTGAAGATGAGTTTGGCTACCGTTTATGGGATGATGAAACCAAAAAGATGATCCGCAGCAGAGATGTCATCTGTAATGAAAGAGTGATGTACAAGGACCGGCATAACACAAGTGCCAGCAACTCAGAAGCGAGTGGGCCAGTTTATGCAGAGGTGGAAGATATCCCAGACATTCCTGTAATAAGGAATCCTCGGTCAGAGGAATCAAATGAAGAAAGCGGTGAGCAATCAGAACCTTCTACTCCAACTCCTGTATTGAGAAGGTCCTCTCGGCCCCATGTACATAACAGGAGATACATGGACTACATGTTGTTGACCGATGGAAGAGAACCTGAAGATTATAAGGAGGCTTGTCAAACCCCAGATGTTAGCAAGTGGGAGCTTGCCATGAAGGACGAGATGAAGTCCTTGATCTCAAATCAGACATGGGAACTAGTCAAGTTACCCATGGGAAAGAAAGCACTTCACAACAAATGGGTGTATCGGGTGAAGGAAGACCATGATGGTTCCAGGAGATACAAAGCCCGACTGGTTGTCAAAGGATTTCAGCAGAAAGAACGAGTTGACTATACTGAAATCTTTGCTCCAGTTGTAAATCTCAATACTATCAGGACTGTGTTAAGTATTGTGGCTAGTGAAGAGCTCTACCTAGAGCAATTAGACCTGAAGACTGCATTTCTTCACGGAGACCTAGATGAGGAGATCTATATGCACCAGCCTGAAGGTTTTTCAGACGGAAAGAAGGATATGGTGTGCAGATTGAAGAAGAGCTTGT